CCTTCTGCAGAGCCTGCGCCTATTTATCTCCTGTCGCTTTGCTTTGCTTTCGCTTTCATCCAGCCTGGCAGGCAGCCCACCAGTCAGACGAGGGCTGGGTGATGGAGAAGTGGGAGGATGGGGGATTCCTGTAAGCCATGAGCCCCCCTTTACAGACGCGTCCTGTCTTGTTCCCAGCTGCCCATCACCGTGCGGGTGAGGGGCACACCGGAGATACAGCCCCCATCACTGCTGGATGAGTCTGTGGGCTCCTGTTTCCTACCCGGTCTCACAACCTGCCCGTACCTGCCCTCGGAGGGTCGGGTGTTGCTGCTTGCCTGTTTGTTCCAGGCAGGTACCCTGGTAGGTGGCCAAGCAGTTATGGAAACAAAGGAGTCAATCCATGTCACTCCCGCACCTTCTGCATCCAACCCATCCACCCCACACAGGTGAGAAGGGGCTCAGGGGGACCCCACATCCCATCCCCCTAAGCCCCCATCCTGTCCAACTGCCTTGGGGACCTCCCCAAAAACATCTGTAGGGCTGGGATGTGCAAGGGCCAAGCTGCCAATAGGTCTGGGGAGATAAACACAGACACCAGATGTTGGTGCCAATACCAAATTATGGGGAAATCAGGATGAGCAGGGAACTCGACCAGATGGAATGGGCTGACAGGAACTTCCTGAGGTTTAACGCAGACAAGATGTTAAATCCCACGGGCAGAACGGTGTGACCCTAGGCAGATGGACAGGTCGGCATGGATGGCAAGACAGGGGCTGTGCAGAAGTGGACTCAGGGTAGATGAACAGGAGCCTGTAGGGCACCCCGATGGAGGCAAAGGTCACCCAAAGAGATGGCCACGAGGCTGGACCAAGCTGGTGTGACACCAGTCCTGTTCTGAGGAGGGGATTGCCAGAGCCCTCCACATCTTCATGTGATCACCAGTACATGGTCTGGAAGAGACCAAGGATGGAGATTTCAAAACTGTTTTGAGCACCTTGTTCCAGTGCTTAAAATGTTCTCATATTGAAAATATTTTCCCCAATATTTAATTGGAATTTCCCTTGATGCATCTGGTGCCACTGCCTCTCACCTTGACCCAGGCCCCTCTGAGAAGAGCCAGCCCCAGCATCTTTCCAGATCCCCTGGGCAGTCTCCACCAGCAGGGACACCCCTTTGCTTTCCCATGCCCAGCTTCACCTCCCCACAGCTCACCGCCCCTCTTCACCCACCCTGGCCTCCACCTCCTTGGCCAGCTCGGGTCCCACTGCCCACGTGCACCCTGAGGAGATGCAGAGCCCCAAGTGGGGTCTATTCAATGCCATTGTGGCCAAAGCCCCTTCCCAGGCCCCACTGCCTGTAACCTGGGGTGCAGCCCCAGGACTTTTCACCAGTTCCTGATGAGGACCCTCATAAACAGTTATCAAGGGCACTGAGTAACCCAGGGGGACACCAAAGTCCTGGCTGCTGTAGGAAGAGGAGCTGCGATAAGTTGACCCCCCTTAGGGAGGGAGCAGTGTTGGAGTCATGGGAGGGGGGCTCACCAACAACCGCCCTACAGCCCACTCCTGGGCAAGGAGGCCAGCAAGATGCAGCAGCTCGCTGCCTTCCTCAGGAACGGCTGGGTGCCTGGGACAGCACGGGATGCAGGACTGCACTCCTGGGGCTTCCTCCATCACCCATGCAGAAGAGAAAGGGAATTCCCATGCCGGGGGTGTGCCCATGTGCCCAGAGCCTGGATGGGGGAAGGCAGATCCCACGCACTCCTGCAGCACCAAGGTTGCCGTGGCCTCGGGCAGCAGCCCCTGGGACATGCAGCAGGCATGGGCCATGGGCGGCGATGGGTCTCCCATGGTGCCTGGCAGCACAGGGAATTGGTCCCTGGAGACATCCCAAGTGGCAGAGGAGGCATCCATCCCCCCAACATCAAAACACTGGTTGCATCAGGACAGGGCAGGAAAAGGAGAGCCATGCTGGCACTTACTGTCTCTTACCTGTGCAGCCTCCACGTGCTGAGAGCCTGGATGAGCCTGAATGGATGATGCTGAGCAGCTGGATGAATGGTGGATTGGAGAGAACCCAGGAGGAAACAGACGAAGGGCAGGGGCGTTTGGCCATTGCTCTGAGAATACAGATGCACCTGCATGATGGAGCGGCACAGCCCCGTGGAAATCAGCCGGGGGGGTGGGGTGGGGGGTCTGTACCCCATCTCACTCCCTTCCCTCCCTTCCCTCAGAGCCCCCTGTCCACTTCTTGGCCTCCAAGTGCCTTGCTCTGTCACCTGTCCCCCTGCTCAGGGAGAAAGCAGGGAGCTTCTGGCAATGAGAGGGGTCAGCATCCCTTTTTGAGGGAGATCACAAGGCAGACTGAACTTTGGAGAAATAGAAATGCTGCTGGGCATGGGGGGTGGAGGCAAGGCTTTTTAGGGCTCTCCAGCACCAGCAGCATGGCTGGAACACTGTCCCTGTGCTGGAGAGGGAGCACTGATCCCATAGCTACCCACCCTAGTCAAGCCTCTCCCAGACCCTATGTGGTACCAGGATAAGTGATGTAGAGGGAGGGGTCATGTCTCACAGGTTGCCCCCAGCACAGACCAGTCCAGCCCAGGGCTCCCACTCACTGCTCCCAGAGCAGCCCCAGAGAGTTCTGTGGTCCCAGCGCGGAGCCCGGCTCCCTTCCTTGCCACGGCGGCAGGCGCCTGGAAAGTCCCTGGCTCTCTGTGTGTTTTCGAGACACTGCAGCAGCATCCTCTGGCCAGAGGCCGGCCCCAAACAAACTCGGTCTGAGCTGCTGAGAAGGGTCAGGGCACGTGATCCCTTCACGGGCATCAGCCTTTGGCAATTCTCTAGTTGTTGTGTTTACACCCCAAGGAAAGCAGCCAGCTGAGCAGACCCTCACTCCAAGCCTTCCAGGGAAGGCGGATTGGAGAGGACCCAGGAGAGAACAAACTAAGGGCAGGGGTACTTGGCCATTACTCTGGCTGAGAATGCAGATGCACCTGCATGACTGAGCAGCACAGCCCGTGGAAACCGGCCTGGGGGTCCATGCCTCATCTCACCCCCCTGCCCTCCTTCTTCCCTCAGACCCCACTGCTCCCTCCTTACTCTCCAAGTGCCTTGCTCTGCCACCTGTCCCCCAGCTCAGGGAGAAGGCAGGGAGCGTCTGGCAGTGAGAGAGGGGTCAGCATCCCTTTTGGCAGGGTGGTCACAAGGCAGACTGAATTTTTGGGATACAGGGGTGGGGATGGAGGAAGCAAGGCTTTTTTTTTTTTTTTTTTGCTCTCCAACACTAGCAGCTCCCGGGAGGCCCCACGGCCAGGCACAGTTTCAGGCACAGTTTCTTACACACACCCACATAAACCCTTTTCTCACCAGCTTGGTAAACCACCAGCCTTTTCCTGGCATTCAGAGGTACAGGATGGAGGTAGACACAAGGAGAGGGACATAACCAGGCAGGGTGTCCCTCTGTGGGGTCTCAGTCACAGGGAACCCCTTTCTGGCCCCAGGGTCTGTGTCAGACACCCCCATTCTTGGTTAGCCCAGCTCCAGCCCTCTGTGCATCCCTGTGGCAGACGGACCACCGGACTGCAGGAAGAGGGGAGGGTGTCTGAGGCAGAGACTATGGTGCCCCTGCATACCAAGTGCGCAAAACCAGTGGGACCATAGCAAAGACCACCAAACCGACTTATTTGTGAGCTGT